CCGTCACAGTGCATGGTACTTGAATTCGTCAGAGCACTTGTGGGTGACACCGTGGAAGATGTCCGTCAGGAACATCGTGCGAGCGAAGAACTCTGGCCAGCGCTGCATTATGTCGAGAGCGTATCAACACACACTGAACGTGCCTCGTGATTGCGGAAAAAGAAGTCTCGTGCGAGAAGCTTTGCTGCGAGGCAAAACACACCTGGCACAAGCAGTTGCCAGCCTTACCGCTCTGCAATAGCGAGCAAGCTCGCAAGCTTTGTCGTAGATGATGAATTTGGGAGGCCGGTGCTCGAAGCGGGTGACGAGGAAGGTGAAGACGTCGCGCAGAGACTCGTGTCGAAGGAGAACGTGGTAGTAGTAGATGAAGAGGTGCTTGCACGTGACGATCATCACCCCATCCGTGTCGCTTCTCTCAGCTTTCTGCAAGGTGGGAGGACGCTTGTCACACTCAGCATGCTTGTCCGGTAGGAAGCGGTCAAGAGTTGCAGCAGGAAGGGCAGTGCGGTGCAACTCAACCGCGCACCTGCACGGCGCTGTATCTTACCTGACACCGAACCTTCTTGCCCCCCTTCTTGGCCCCCTTCTTCGCCATCTCCAGGTCTGGACAGCCATCGTCGGTCTCCTCGTTGCACTTGACGTCCCGCTCACCACTGACGCATTTCCCGTTAGGTTTATCCTTCCCTGCTTATTGCGGGACGTCGCGGAACACCCGGTGGTAGACGTTGCTGGAGCTGAGCCGGTGCTGATTGGCAACGTAGGCCTCCCCGGCGAGGATCCCGTCCGAGGTGCCCCGGCACGGCCCCGACATCAGCTCCCGGATCTCGTCGACCAGCTCCGGCACCCTGTCGAAGTAGACGTCCTTCCCCACCCGCTGCGACCCGCGATCCCCAGGGAGACACCCCCAGCAGATCTCGCCCCTCTCCACCCCCAGGGCCTCGCACAGCAGCGCGGACGCTTGGTGGTTCGCGATGTAGTCCGTCTCCCAGAATGAGAGGCGCAGCAGGTGCTGGAGCAGCGGGGCGATGGCGTACAGCAGCTCTGCTTTTACATTGTAGCCGGTGCCCTGCCGCTTCTCCCCCGACTTCCACGTGCTCCCGGACTTCCGGAACCCCTTGCGCGCCTGATGGCGGTCAGGGGCCTTGCCGCTGAGCAGGACGGCCTGCAGGCATGGGGCATATGTGTGCAGGGCCTGATCCCACTCGCACTCAATCTCGATGAACGGAGCCCCCTTGGACAGCTTGAGAGTCGTCAAGATCTGCACGACCGTGTCCTGAGCCCCGTGCCTGAGGAGCTCGGCGTCGCTGTGCATGAAGCCCAGGTGGTAGAACAGCTTCCGGTACGCAGGGTTGGGGCACAGGCTTGCATGGTTGGGGTCGATGTAGTTGACGAGTTTGTAGACGCACGGGGCGAGAGTGCCGAGCGTCTACAAAATCCATATAGAATATTGTCAACCTGAGTGCAAGAGCATGCACTGACCCGAGAAGCGAGGGAGCACGAAAAGCTGACAGAGAATCGGACTTGGAAAGACGCGGGAGAGACAAAATCGGGCAAAGCGGTGTTCTTCGAGCGAGCTTGACAAGTGCTAGCAAATGTGCAAAATGAGTGCAAGTTAAACTCTACTTTCTGAATAGCAAGAAGGGGGTTGCTGCAAAGAGGGAAGGGGAACAAATGTGACGCACCTTGCGTTCTGCCGCACTAAGAGGCTCAGGCTGGGCATCAGGGACAGGGATAGGCACTGCTTCCTTCTTCCCCCGCTCGTACTTCATCGATACCGGGATGTGTCCGCTCCACCGCTTCAGGAGCTTCCGCAGCTGCGCGCGTGCTACAAGCTTTGGAGCACCCACGATGGAGCTGTTGTTGCTCATCTGGTTTGGCCTCTCACAGCAGCAACCTGCTTTGTAGGGGTTGACGTTGTATGCTGCGACCCTGTCGTGGAAGGGGTAAGTGATTGGAAGGAGGTTCACGTTCTCCCCGGTATGGGGGTCTTTGTACTTGCGCTTCATGTGCGCCTCCCTGCAGTCAATGTACAGAGCCTCCGGGAACTCCTTGCAGATTAGGCAGGTGGCCCAGGGCTTTTGATGGTGATCTGCGAGGACGTCCGACTTGGCAGGGGCAGAGGGCGCGTCCATCTTGACATGCCAGTCCGGTGGGGACCAGTCGCGGGGATGCGGGCCCCAGTCCGATGGGTCGACGTCCTGCGAAAGCAGACAAGTCCGTCAGAAGACAGCCAGGGCTGAGGCAAGAATGAGAATATCAAAGGGACATGGTAGGCAATGAACGGAGTGTAGGTGCAAAGATGTCTGGGTACGAGATGCAGAGCTTTCTGACAGAACAGGCCAAGCCATACCTCAAGCGGATTTAGCCGGTTGCAGAGGTCGCGCCAAGTCATGTCCTCAGTTGTCTTGTCCCCAGGATACTCGACCTGCAGGCAAAGACAGAACACGCATGCGGTCAACTACAAGGCTTTCTCAATCTTCCCAGAATACCCCTTGCGCAAACGCACAGATCCCAGAATGCACAGGTGTTTCAAAGTCCCTCCTATCGATGGGGTCTCAAGATTCTGTGAGATTCTGAAAGTACACCTCCATTGCTATATCCGCGCAAGCTTGATGTGAACATTCCTGACCCACATACACCAAAACAACCACGCACCTTGTAGTGTGGGCCCCAGTCCCCTTCGTCATTGTTCTGCATGTGGCCGATGACACGCCCCCGCCACCACTTCTGATCCTCCCAGAACAGCTTCCAGAGGGTTCGACCCACGAGCGTCTGAGGGTCTGCAGGCTCCAGCGGAAGTACTGGGGTCTCTCGCAACAGCCCCCGCAGGGCAGTTGTCCACTGGTTCGGGCCTGGCTGTGGCGGAAGCTCAAGGCGAGGTGCATTGGCCAGGGTCCAGCGCAGGTAGTCTTGAAACCAGCTTGTCAAGGCATCTCGGCCCAGAGGTGGCTCCCGGCCTGCAGAGATGACAAGTCTGTCAGGTGGGACTTTGGATGGAGCCTGATGAGGATTCCAAGCAGAGAGGTGAAAACCTTTGCAGCAGGTAAGGAGGGGGACAAAAAACGCATGCCCAGTTGTTTGCAGAATTGCAGCATTGTTCTGGATGCAAGGAGATTGTGCTGGTGGTGGTGCGTAACATTCTCAACTAGGCACACTTCAGAGCTTTCAGACAGGGTTGCTATGCTCACCAGGGCGAAGAAGACCCTCTTCCTCTGCCCGTTCAGCGAGCAGCTTG